ATTAGAATTTATGGCGAAGATGAAGGTAAATAACAACATTTGTTTATTGTTAGATGCTTTCAGAAACCTCAGTTGGTATTGAGATCAGCCTGTTTTGTTTCTAGGCCAGAGGTTCAATATAACTGCAGGTGTTAAGTAACCTGTTCTCATTAATCAGTTAACAGTTCATAGATCTGATTGTCGATCTTATTACATTCGTTTTGCGGCTATAATTGCCGTGTTTTGGTTATAATCATCAATTACGATGTAAACAGAATTCCGACCCAAGAAATTCACATTGAAACTGGATTAACAATAAATGTATGCGCATTACGCATTTCTTTTGTTTTAAACATAAATCTTACGCTCTACGTGGGAAGTTATTGTTTTTCGGTAAACTAAATTTTATGTGTAACGTTAATCGTTAATCCCAGTGCTATGATCTCATGTGATTTGCAATGAAAACATCGATTTAAGAATCTCGATTCGAATCGAGTTGGTATCGATTCGTTTGATTGAAATCTGCAAGTTATTGGATGATGTTGACTACGGGCATCGATATAATTTGTAAACTGAATATCGAAATGGAACGCGTGGTACACAAGCATCGATCTATTGTTACGACACATTGTTTCACAAACTGAAAGCGATTCGCGTAAAATTTCATTTCATACCTTCATTCAATATGGAATATTTTTTTCCTATTCAATTTTCTGTCATTCGACATGTATGTATGTATGTTGTCTTACAATACTAAACGACAATACTACATCTTTTTGAAACAACATGGTATATGAATAGAATTAAATTCGGTTTATTTTTACGACATTTTCTATTACTAATAATCATTTTAATGCGTAAACATTATTCAACAAGCAACGTTTATGTAAATTCACATACACACATGTAAATTCACATACACACATACACACTCACACACTTACAATACATTATCGCAACACAATACAAACATTTCCAATTAGATATGGGTTGGGTACCTATGTATTTCAATACATTTATTATACCGAGAATAATGACTGTTGCTATATTTTTATTTTCAAATTAATATTAATATCTGCTCAAATATGAAAGTATTGAAACATCATCCCTTATTTTCATTTTTCAAGGTTCTTTTCACGTCGATTTTGTAAATATTAAATTTTGATTAAGGAGTCCAAAAAAATCATGATACAAACTGCTGGCGCTGCAGCGCTGTAAAGCAGATAACAATCAGCGCTTTAAGAACAATTTATCATTTTCTATCGTTGTTTAGAATCTCTCAAGTTAGCCACGGGAAATGGCATTCTGTACTTTCATTAAGCTTAAACTATTAAATATATCCTGTTATTAATAGAAGGTATTGACTGTTTCCTATAACAACTTTACTTTATTACTGGAAAATAATATTCATTTAGCTTGCCTAGAGCTTTGTAGTTTTCTTTTTATTTATTCGGATTGCTAGTTTATTATCTACGTTTTTTATATTTTGTACTTCGATACTCAAACAAGACAAAAATAGATGACTCCCTCGGACTTTACCTCAATAAAGAGAACAATCGGAAATCCAACAATCGCAATAGAACAAATAATTTTAGAAATATACAGTGTATCAACAAATAGATTTTTTTTCAAAATTAATTTATGGCATTACTGCTAACTGTTCAATCCCCAAGCGGTCACCGGTGACCGCTCTCCACTATAGACCTTATTTCCGATGTTTAGAGACTACTTTTGTATGAACAAATTTTGGGGATTATCGGTACGATATATCAACGTACTAGTCAATCAAGATACTGAGATAAGACAATGACAAAGACACATGCAAACTAGTATGTATTTACAGAAGTTTAGACAAGTGCATCAGTTGTGTTGGACATGTGTTATGTATCTGTCGGAATGCAATAGATATTTTTGTTATCACAAAGGAACATATGGCTGCCCTTGTCACCATGCCACGCGGCTCAAGACCTTTTTATGTGCACAAACAAACGATTGAACCTCATGCCACATTTTGCCGCTTCGAACCATATTTGTCTATACTTTTGTGCCTTTCATTTTGTCTTTATTATATTTTATTTATCTATTTGAAGAAGTTTCAGTAATAAAGAGAACTGAAACGTTTCAAACCCCACGTTAAATAACTAAAATGATATACGAGTGTGGGAACATAAATTTTAGTAGAAGTAGGTTTACAGTTTTATGTCCAAACCAGAAATATTCAAATCAAAACTGTACAAGTAATAGGAATAGGACGTTTATTAGCATACATTCCCTTTTTATATCTAGGTTACCTTACTAGGAGTTCATGACCTCACAGGACTGTGTTAAACACTGATAATTAGCAGAAAGCATATACACCGTAACACATTACAAACTTTTGTAATTGAATTATGAACTGTATTTCAAAATAGTTGAGTTGCAAATCTATTGTAAAAGTAGGATATTAGGTAGCTTTAAGTGCTACAAGTTGTAAAGTCGAACATTATTGAGAGTTCATTGCATTAAATTCAAACTAGACTACAAATGTCAGTGGTTTATGAAAGTATGTCAGATTCATTACTCTAATTGGTTCCGTAATTTAAAATCCTTTTGTAATTACAGTACCCGTCGATGATACATTCAGTACATAAGTGTCTAGTCGTTTTGTACTTTATTGATTTTAAGATTAAACTGCTCTATATAGCCATAGGACCCGGTGACCCTTATTGGTGCTGATGGTGACCACCGGCCTGGTTTTAGCGAGATAGGAGTCCCACTATACTAAGTCTTTTTTTCAATAAGCTAGCCGATTTTGTTGTAAATTAATTTTTCCATAAATCGAAGATGTCGTAAATCTGATAATGACCATTGTTAACCACTACGAATAGAAAAAAATCGAGTCATCTAATTAAAAAGTTATATCATAGATACACTTTCTTCTGAAAGGCTTATTTAGGGTAGACCGTAAAGGTCGCCCCAAAATACTGTTACACACAAGTAAATCTAGTTAATGAAAGTCGCTACGTCGCAGATAAAGTAGTTCGGAAAAGGCCACGAGAATTTTAGACATCCCTAATCCAATTGTAATACTGACTGACAGATGTTGCTTGTACAAAATAGAATACTTTCGTCTCTTCGTAGGGTTACCCAAAGAAAATTATGATTTAATGCAGTAGGTATACACGATTCGACAGTAATATTATTAGAAACCAGGTTTCTAGGCTTCTTACAATTTCAGCATTAACCACGTTTACTCTAGATTTGTGCAAACCTGGGTCTGCGGACCACTGCTTACCATGGCTCCACCTAAAAGCAAGGATTTTTTCTAGTCAGTAAGTTCCTGACTCTCCCCTTCCAACGAAAGATACCTTCGTCCCTAGGAAGAGTTACTAAATTATATGACTTTCCCCCTCAAAATAAGTATAAAAGACTGACGCAAATCCTAAAAATTTGGAAATTATTCCCATAGAAAGAGAAAATTAAACTGAAGCATGTACCTAATCCTAATTATATTCACGTGAATGTTTACAATAGTGTCCAACATGATGATAATATATTTTACAAGAATTGTTGAAATATGACAGTATTAAGAATGTTTAAAATATCTTCAATCACTGTCCGTGACGTCACAACTGTCTTTCGGTACATGACCAAGGTTTGTAAACTGTTCCAGCTCATGTTTTGAATTTCACCTCCATAATATCTCAGATGGAGACAGATGTCGGATAATAACTTGGAAACCTGTAGGTAATAACGTTCTTATAATCTGTTCCATTCCAATACTTAGGATACATTCTCCATAGATTTGAGATTTCCTTTGTTAGAAAAATATCAAGAGTAAGAAATGGATCAATGATATAAAGAAAAGATTCAATATGTATGATCTCTCAGCCATTTGATCATTTTGAACCATAACAATAAAATATACCAGTCCGTTTCGGATGGATTCATAAAAAAAAAATTGTTGAAAATTATATCTCGATAATTGCTTTACAAAGTAGTGACAATCGATTTAAATACAAACATGAAGGACCAAAACATTATGCTTTATTGTTTTAGGTTTACATAACTACTTATATGTAGATGTTACAGTGTTGAATGTTAGTCTGACGTTACGTCGAATGTTAATATTGTATCAGCTGAACAGCTGCTTCGGTTCAACTGAGCAGTAAACAACACAGCACTAGCAGACAAGTCGCTCGGAACCGGTCCACTGACTCCAAAATATCAATAGATCAACTTTCCTTTTTATTCGAGCTTACATCTACTACAAGTCTACAAGAACCAACGTATAAATTATAATCATTTTATTTTTATTTTGTTCACAGGTAAATATTCCATCTTCCCGCACCACCGCGTCATGTTTCGGTAACTAGAACATCAAACTTCAAAACAAACCATAACTCATATAGAAAATGGTTTCTGCTTATGCGTTTCACCTCTAAAAATGTATCAGTTGCTGGAAATCAAGAGACGTAGCTTAATGCTAGACCTGTATCCACCGCGTCAGCATTCAGCCGCAGCAAAATCAATGAGGGCGGCGGCTGACTCTGTCACATTATTAAATCATGAAACAGCAGCGACACTGACCGCATTTCGGTTCGCAGCCTGCAGCATCCAACACGGGGAAATGCACCTACTTTCTTTCCACTGCAACTAGCGGGCTTTGGCTACAATCACCAGTCCGGGCCCGGTAAAAACAACACATGTTTTTTACTGAAATGCTCTTCATCATCTCTATCCTCTACGTCTTAGAGCTCATATCGGCTCGGCCAGTTTCTATTTAAGTCCTATACACACTGCGCACAATCCCGTTTATTTTTCCGTAGCGAGATGGGTGTACTCGCGGAGCTCGATTAGTCGTCCGTAAGCCACGGCGCGGTCGGGCCGCGTTCGCGGGTGCTCCGTGTACTAAACTGTCGATATTAGTGTGAGATCTGTTTTTTGGAACATGTGCTGTGTTTGATAAAGAAGATGACCGGTGAAATTTGCTGCAACCAAAAATGGTATGCGTTGATTTGTGCGCGTAGCTGAAAGGAGAGATGCACTTGCGTGCTCTACTCTCACTCGAACGGACAAGCACCGGCATGAAGGGCCAACCGGTTTGGTGAGATCTCCTCCCGATCCACACTCTTGTAGAATAGAAAGCCCTTAGCTTAGACCATTCTGTACTTGTCCATCGTTCGCAGTTCGAGCATTGCTTTAGTTTTATTTTTGCTTATCTTTGGAATTTTAGTAAGGAGCATCATGTGTATGTGGATCACGTCGCTTTAGACATTGTTTATATATGAGTTATTTCGCACTTTTCTAATGGAACGTGCGATATATTTATTCTTGTAAAGCATCAGCATTGTTTGCAGCATTACATAATTGGAGACACAGACATAAATTTTGGAACTTTTGTAGGCCCATGTAATGTGTGCTTCGCACTTACGATTAGTGTAATTATGCCATTACAAAGCTGGTCGTCACAATTATCAGAAGATGCGTGTATAAAAGGAGTTTTACGAATTAGTGTATCTATTTATAATCTTGTCATATTTTGCCTTAAATTTAACGCCATTAGGTTTTACGAGTGCGATCAACACTGTTGATGGAATATAAATAATCGATTACACGGTCACTCTCTTTGATTAGTTTCAAATTATGCTTTGATGTGGTATTCTATTATTTTGCAACATCCATTAAGGATAATTAATGGTTAGGCTTCCACACCCTGGCTTGTTGCTTACAAATGGCTGAAAGATGCGAAAGTAGGTGCAGCTTGTTGTGAATAACTTTATAATTTGTAACGCGAACATTGAAGCATCGTGTTTACAAATTATTCTAATGATGCTTATTATGGTTGGTTACTAGATTATAAATAGTTTTAGTGTTTTTATCAAACGTAATGTTGCTTCGTAACAAGATATTAACGTTATTGTTTGTTAAACTTAGCCTTAGGAATGGACTATGTAGATATGTTCTTTTACAAACATGTCTACCATATCGTAATGGAGCTATGTTTATGTTTAATTTACCGCAGAATTTACCAGAGAAATTATTTCTAAACCTTTGTTATGATATGACAAAAAGATAAGAGGATGAACAAGAAATTAATTTAGAAACATCAAGACGAAGAAATACAATTCAAGTTTCTCTTTAAACGCCGAAACAATATCGATGAATGAAAATGGAACCAAACTCGACAATCTCGATTGAACATTCACAAAATGGATTCCCCTCAAAGTAATTCAATTATTTGTATTCAAAGTTCACAACAATTTCTATAACAATTGACATTTCCTTCCTCGTCTTGTGAAAGTACTTGTGAATTGCCAATATCTTCCTGTTTGTTAATGACTAAAGATCTAATAAAATATTTGTGGGAAAATTACAATTATTGTTCAGGTAGCAACTAAGTCAGGTTATTGTCCATCTTCGCGTGCAAGAACTCTTTCTAACAGTCCAACTTTCTCGTTTGACATATTACCAAAACATCTACGTTACGTATGTACCGGGTGAAACACAAATTATGTACAATTATTTGCACGAGTAATTTTTCTCCAAAGGAAAATAAATTCGTAATACAATATTCCCAAGATATTATCCTACGGTTAACCCAACCAAGAAAGAAAACACGTTGAATCATCTTAAGCCTTTTATTAATTTGCACTACCAATATTGTCCTATTAGTGTTACGCTATCTTATTTATTAAAACCCAGTAGAGTTAGCGAATATCACACATTGTGGGAATCCCTTTATTCGTTTCAAAGTCATATAGTTCACTTTTATTATGTTATAAAATTATTTTACTGTAAAACACAGGCTTTACTCTAAAACCGCTATCGCACATCAACATAACATCACGCCTTTTATCCTCGAAGGGGTAGGCAGAGGTGCACATTATACCACTGTACAATGTAATACCCACTTTTCACTATTTATGTTATGAGTCCCATGTAATAGGGGGTGAGCCTATTGCCATATACCGGGCACAGTTCCAGACTCCGTGCTACTACTGAGATTTTTTTTAAAAACCTAGTAATACTTTGTCGCTACGCTATCGCACATATAATGCTATAAACCGAAATAAATTTTAATGCATATTATAACAACTCGCATAACTTTAAATAATACCGTAAAAAATTACCACGACAACAATAACCAAGGCGTTGGTCCTAATATAGGGCCTTGAGGGACTCCAAACTAATGCCATAAATATGTGAAATGATGAATCAACACGTACTTTAGTGGTAGAGTTATAATAAGGTTCTCAAACTAGACAAGAAGACCAAACGAATATTGTGTTAGCACGTGCCGTGTTCAGGTATTGTGGAGTTGTGGTCACGGTAAGGTATACTGTATACAACAATCCCACGTGACATTGGCGACTATCACGTTGCCTTTACAAGTCAGATCGAATTGAAGTAACAACGCACAATATTCTGTTATTACTCCATTTCGATACGCCAATAGTTATGCAAATCCAAAGAAAGTAAAATGGTATCGGATGATATTCTGTTTGTCTTCAATATCTTTCCTTAAAGGATGTTGGTATGTTTAATATTCTCAACGTGCACTTTTTGTGTTTTGTGGCTGACGATGACGACAAGTAGGTAGGAAAGATCCCTCGACTTATTCATACATAAATAAATGAAATGGATGGATTCAAAGAACTGAATTCGCAAATTTTCGCGCATACCTATCAGTATTTTTTAGATTTCACAATCAAGTAACATAACGCTCTGACCCTTACGGTCGATTTTTCAATCATCAGTTAGTTCTTAACTGTAAAATAAAATTAATATTTGACAACTTTTAGTATGGAAGAATAATTGTCATATATTCAAAGTTACTCGTCAGTTAAAATTTAACTGGCGTTGGAAAAATGGGTACTTAATTATCTTAATTTTAGGATACCGAAACTGTTAAAAGTACTATTTTAAATCTGATGATATATAAAAGTGAACTAAAAAAAGCATATTGATATGAAATGTATGACGTAACTCACTCTCTATCGTAGTAGCATTGCACACGACCACAGTTATCAAATCAAATACAAAATCATTTACCATAGCTATCAACTTTTCATACAATAAATCCGACAGACATTCCCCAAGTCCGGTCGTACTAGACTTGTGTTGTTGCCAACTTTTCTTACTTTCGTTTACGTCGACAAAGTTGTACTAAACATTTTTGAGCTACACAGCATACTGTAGTAAAATTGTCTGGCGATTATTAAAGACTAGCTTTTACCCGCGGCTTCGCTCGCGTCTCAAAAGGAAAAAAATAGCCTATGTGAGAAATACCAATACACACAGCGCCATCTATACCAATAATTTCGCTTTCTCTCGAGAATATCAATTTTTTCCGGGATAAAAAGAACCCTATTATTTAATCCAGACTTCTAACTTTACGTCTGCAAAAATTCAAAGCAATCAGTTTAGTAGTTACGGCGTGAAAGCGGAACAAACAGACAAACTCACTTTCCGATTTATAATATTAGTTAGTAAGGATATTTTGGTTGTACGTACAAATGCACTGTGGTGTGATTTATAAGCTAGCTAAACCAGCGTACTCAAACATCAGTATCTCACTTTCATATCACACCTCAACGGGAGTTCCAAACTAGTTTTGTTATGAAACAGAGCAGTATTCCAATCGTAGGAAGTCAATAATATTGTTGCTATGCCGATTTCAATATTTAACTTGTATCTTCCAAAGAGATAAAAACATTAATATTTCCTTCGATACCAATGATGCTAAAAGCTTTTCAAAATTCCACGCAATCCCAATATTGTAAAAATCCTTTTTTTTCTTCTTTGTCCGACCAAGAATTCTGTTCTAGAGATACTTGGTATACAAAAATACAAAGGTCTTTTAGATAGGAATGGAAGGGTTTCGGTTTTAATTTAAAACCTTTTTTTAATCCCTCCCTATTGTATGTACTAGTAACGTCCTATGTTATCCGATCCCTTATCGACATTCCTTTACGATTTGAATAGCATTCACAAGATACACGTCCATGAACCGTGTGTTAACCTATGCGTCATAAAGGACGCCATAAAACAAGAACAAAATAGAAATATGGAGGGATCCCAAATTGGATAGCCGCGGCCACAAACAAAAACATTTTTTGTTGACTGGATACCCTATTAATTTATGTAACAGTATAGTCTGGCTGTAATAAAACCTTTTTAAACATAGACAAAACAGAAACCTTTTTAGTTCATTTTTAAAAATAGAACTCCATTCGCACGTAAGTTTAGAATTAAAAATTGAATTATCTATTGTTCTTTATTCAAACTTATTTCAAATATTCAGAGCGAACGAAAAAGTTTCGTTTAAACTTCTTCAAACTAATTTCGAATTCCCTTGAAGATGAGGGGACGTAATTGCCATTTGTCATCATCAAAGTGATTACAGGAAGAGGGCATTGTAGTGAACCCTTTCTTAGCCGGGTCTCATTAAAATTGTCGACGACACTACCCATTGTTCACTGCATCATGCTTGTGACATTCTACTGTTACGCAATGTACAATTTAAAGTGTTGTAAGGCGAAGACACAGTAAATAATGCTCCTACAGATAAAAAAAAGTTCGTATAAACCCTTTGCAGAGATACCGTTATGTTGAAAAAAAAAAGAATTTTTAACTGTGTTTTATTTTTGCATTTTAACATCAAAAGCGGTCCAACATCAATGAAATTTAATTTAAATAAAAGTTGTGGTTTCTCTTTGGTATAAAATGAGTGTGTAACTCGTTATGAGAAAAGTTTCGAGTGTCATGGAACAGGGTTCGCTTCAATAACTACTCTTCTGACTGGATTCCCCATAATTTTATGGGATTTTGAAACTGCGAAAATATAATTTGACTTCTTACTTTCCTGGAGTAAGAGAAAATTAGTTTCTGATACATATTTTCATCGTAAAGTCTATTAATGATACCTATGAGTATTTTACGTCTTATAGATAGAAACTACTTATATTCCGGATACTAAATACCCAGATCATTGTAAAAGTTATCACAAAGACCAACAAATGAAAATCGTAACACGCCATCAACAACTTTATTGTAATAAACGTAAAAGATAAATTCAAATAACTATGGTTATGAATATTAATG